GCTCGGCCCATTTTGACAGGTCTAGTTACAACTAACTCTGCTAGTTATATTGTATAATGGACAATACTATAAGGAAACTTTGATGTTAATTAAAGCAATTTTTTTAATGAATATCATAATAAGATTGGATATATAAATCAATAACTTGATTAAATAGTTCTACGGTATATATAAAAATTTTTACTAATTATTTCTCAATAAATTGAATAAAAGGATAGTACTTCAATAGCTCATAGGCGTTAATTATCACTTCAAATCCTTTGGTGAGATTGATAATTAAGCTCGTATAATTGAAACTAATTAATTAATTAATTGTTACCATATAGCTGCTGGCTTCACAAATCCAACGCATGTATGGAGAAATTGAGTTGTTAGTATATTTTTTATTATTATTGTATTATAATTAACCAATTATAATCATGAATTGTGTAAGGTCGATCAAAATTTTATAATCCACACAAGTGATGGATTCTTACATAATTTTTTTATTATGATAACATAAGCAACATTAGGATAAGTATTAAGAGTTTAATAAAATGCAAATACAACAAACATATAAGTTTAGATATTAGATCAAAAGGGCACACAGTTGCACCAAGTTGTCACAGAATTAAGGCAATGAGAGTCTTACTACTTTCAGACCATTCATGCTGTAAGCAAACAAGAAAGAGATGGGATATGTCTGTAGGTAGAACTCTGAATTATTTTTTCCTAGCTCATCTTAGTTAGCAATATTCATTGTCTGAGAGCTTGGAAAAGGTGACCTAGCCAGGGAAGGAACCACCATCTAAGCAAGGCGCAGGTCATTGGGTCCAAATCTTCCCCCATGGTAAAGAAGATTAGCCTGGTGGTTTTGGTGCGGGCGAAGAGCATATAAGTTAGAGGCTCCATTTGCCAGCCCCATCGCTGATTCATAATATGCTTCGTTTTCAACTATTCCATCCTCAAGCTTTGCCTCCTTCAATGAAAAAGAAACAACATCAGTACTGTTAATAAAATCTACTAATTCTTCGGTGGATAAAGAAAGCAAATTCAACCCAAAGATTCTTACCAAGTCGAGCACAAGATTTGCATGTCTTTGCTCCAAGTTCCTTACCTACAGAATGCAGAAAAGAGAAGCAGCCCTGAGTCCAGAAATTAGCAGGAACTTAAATTGAATTAGATCAAAGAAAGAAGTTATAATGTATGCTGTTCAATGAACTAACCTTCTTCTTGTATGTGTCGGTTTGGGTTTTAATGACATGGTACTGTGAAGAAAACAAACCAACTGAGGTTGTTAGTTTCATGATTCAATTTACAACCCCCTTTCTGTTTGATCAGCTATTTAAAGCCAAATGTGATGAAGAATAGTTATAGGACCGGGCTAAAATGCATCATGAGCCCCCTTTTTTCTCCAAAAAAGAACTAGAAGGAAACAGTGAAGAGAAATCACTCCAAACGAGAAGAATAACTTTTCAATGTGGTTCTTGCTCCTTACTTTCTAAATGGAGGAGGTTGGGAGCTAGGGTGGAGTTGAGGATTTCAAGGTTTACCAAAATGATGAAACCTTGGAAATGGGGGAGGTGAGAGGATGACCCAGAAATGTTTTACATACCCAAAATTTAATTAAACTTAACCTTGGCTAAAAGATGTATGAACCCTTTCAATTAGAACCCTCACCATTTCTTTTTTCACCTTAATATTAAGAAAAAAAGCCGAATATATAAGAAACCAAAACCTAAGATATATGTATCTATTTTTGGCACAACAGAAAAAAAATCCAGTAATTTCAAACCTTTCTTTGACGTACAGCCTCCAAGGAAGAAGCCATCTTTGCCTCAAGAGCTTGCAGTTCCTTGATGTTAAGATCGTCCAAATCTTCACCAATCCTTTGCCTGCTGAAAGCATACACACCCTGATCAACTTTGCTATGACAAAAGCCTTGAGAAAGCAAACTTTCACCGCCAAAAAAGAACCCTAGGTTTTGATAAAATTATCAAGCACTCTCTTTACCTGATCTCTCTTCTGAGCCTGTTGTTGATCTCCTTCAGCCTTCTGTAGTTTTCTTGCATTTTCTGCCAAAACATGTGAAGTCATACAAATACAGATCTAGCACTGCTGTAAACATTAGAGAGAGAGAGAGTGTGTGTACTGACCTCATAGTGGGAGCTCCAGAGATCAATCCCTAAAGTCTTTTGATATAGATCAAAAAAGGTCTTCGTTCTAAGTTAAAACAAAAGAAAAAGGAAAACCATATCATTTCTTACATGCATATATATATATAGATATAGATAGATAGAAAAGAGAAAACAGGAAGAGAGAGAGATGGTTGAGAATACGAGATATTAGGGCTGATGAACTCGTGGAATTTTCCAGAGCTGGAGAACATGATGAGGGAAACCTTGGCATCACACAGAACAGTGAGCTCTTGGGCTTTCTTGAAAATACCGTTTCTCCTCTTGGAATAGGTCACCTGCCTGTTCGTAGTGTTCTCAATCTTCTTGATCTCGATCTTCCCACGACCCATCGTCTCTTTTTCTCCCGTT